GTAATTTTTGTTTTTAACATAAATAAATACTAATCAAAATAAATTAGTGTGCCACGTGGCAAATAATAATTTCAAGAAGACAGAAATGCCCCGGTAAGAGCGCTGGGCTAAAAGTCCCATGTTCCGCGGCTCAATATTCCATTTCCGTGTCTGTCGGTGACGTGCAATATAGTAATTCTACACAATTTCAAGGGTATTATCGACAATTGTTAATATCAATTTCAGATAAACAGCTTTTTTTTAATAATTTTTTCAGTAGAAACTTTTTTGTATCATAGTTGGAATCTTTCTTGTTCATGATTTTTCATTGTCTATATACCGTAAGCTTATCATTTTCCTTGTTATACTTTTGTGCTGCCTAAAAGCTTTGACAAACTTGGCTCTGCTTTTTCATGAAGCTTTATTACTTGTAAGTTTCACTATATTTATTTAGCTTTTTTTCATTATATTTTTATTGAAAAAGAAGTTGTAGTAGTACTACTTATTATCTTGTTTCAAGAATTGGGTATTTATTGATTTCTATTGTTTGTCAGAAACTTAATGTAAAGATTTAATCTTTTTTACTAGTAGGTGAGTTTTTTCAAGATTCTTGGTGGGTTTGTACAGTTCTTGCTGTTGGTGTCAAAGATTTGAGGGAAAAGGTGAAGCTTTTTATGGTTCTTGGTTGTTTTGTTGGAGTTTGGTGAGTTGGTGTCAACATTGACAAGATGTTTTCATCTCAGATGCCTGAGAAAGCTGGAAATTTTGGGTGGGGTATGAGGTCTAATAACCCCAAAGTTCAATGGTGGTTTAAGCTATTGACAATGGGTGTTTTTCTTGGAATCTTGATTGTGTGGGGGATTGATGGTGTTAGTGTGGGTAGTTTTCAGAGAGATTTTGTTTTGTTGAAGGTTAATAGTTCAAGAAAGTTTAGTCCTGGCTTTAAAGATTTCAGCTTTACTAATATTTCTTTAAGACCTCATTCTGTAAATACTCAACAGAATTTGAATCGAGATTTTACCCGAAAAAATCTTGCTCCTAAAGTTGAACCTCAACCAGTTAATTTGACTGAAAATCAAGGTAATGCCCCTGATTTCAGTCTTGAAATGGTGTCGAATAAGGAACTGGAACGGGTAGAGGATTCAAGACCAGGAGTTTTTAGGTGGATTTCAGCTGAATTAGAGGCAAACTATTCGTCGAATCTTCTTAGGAAGTGGTTGGCTCCTGGTGGCGAGCCATGTAGGGATTCAAGAACTGTGGATGTAAATATTCCTGCTTTGGATGGTCGTGAGAATATTGAGTTGTCAACTGGGGATATTCATGAGTTTGTTTTTCATGCATTGGATGATTCTGGGAAACCCCATTGTTTGGGTGGTGATTATTATGAAACTGATATTTCTGGTGTAACATGGAAGTCTAGACCTCCTATTAAAGATTTTGGCAATGGTACTTATCAGTTTTCCCTGCAAGTCCACCCTGATTTTGCTGGAGATTACAATCTTACAATTATCCTACTATTTCGACATCATGAAGGCTTGAAGTTTTCGCCTGTAAGATTTGCATTTGACAAGGTTCTGCGCGTGATCCCAATCAGATTCTCCAAGTCCTCTGTTGATTTACCTGAAATATCTCAATGCAAGAAGTCAGATCTTGTTAGAGATGTTTGGTCTGGTCGATGGACTCGTCATGCCAAGAATGATAGCTGTCCAATTAGCAGAGATGGGAGATACAGATGCCAAGAACCAAATTTTCCATGCCAAAAACCATGGTGTGATGGTCTATTGGGATCCTTGGAGAGCAATGGTTGGGTATATTCAACACATTGTTCATTCAAGATGTTCTCAAGTGAAGAAGCATGGAATTGTTTGAACGATCGTTGGATTTTCTGGTGGGGTGATTCGAATCATTGTGACACAGTGAGAAACATCCTTAATTTCATTTTAGATGTGAATGATATAAAGGACGTCCCAAGAAGATCTGATTTGAACGTCACCAACCCGAGGAATCCATCACAAACAGTTCGATTTACCAACATTTTCAATGGGCATCATAACCAAACAGGCAATTATCAAGGCTTGAATTCATTGAGAGATGCTGGCTATAGAGAACTTTTGAAAGGCTACTTCTCTGGACATGCTGTTCCAGACACTATAATCATGAATTCAGGCTTACATGATGGAGTGTATTGGCCTAATGTTAGGCATTTTATTGAAGGTGCTGACTATGCTGCATCATTCTGGGCTGAGGTATTTAATGGGGTAAGGCAGAGAGGGTTGACACCGCCCGAAGTCATATATAGGACCACAATTACCACTGGTGGATATGCTAGACAATTAGCATTCAATCCAAGTAAAATGGAGGCCTTCAATGGGGTAGTCTTGGATAAGTTTAGGGCATATGGTTTAGTTGATCGCGTCATTGATGATTTCGACATGACTTATCCATGGCACTACGACAACAGATGCAATGACGGGGTGCATTATGGCCGTGCTCCTGCCAAGTTGAAGTGGAGGGATGGCCAGATTGGGCACCAATACTTTGTGGACGTTATGCTTGGTCACGTGCTGATCAACACGTTATGTGCAAGATAGAAGATGGCGAGCTACCTTCTGAGATGCACAGCTAACTTCAAGCAATTGATGGTGCATTTGAAGCTTGGCTGCTAAAAATTTTGCAAGTTATATTCTTGATCTCTTTTTATGTATTTTACTGTCATTATGTTTTCTGGATTTTCTGTCACGTTGTAGGCCAATACTAGAGGTTGTATAGGTGAATACTATAGAATAGTGTTTATATTTCATTTTTGAGCTTCTTGTAGTCCTATTTGTTTGGACTAGTGTAAGATACAATGAATATTACCATTACCATTTACTCCATTCATTTATTTACTTCTTTCTTTACCCCTTCAAATGAAAACAAAATCCATGTTGTGCTTTAGAGTTGATGGCTAAAATATGGGATGGTAAGCACCTTCACGTCCAACATAAGGTTGTGAAGAGCAAAAATGTGGGAGCTTTTAGGGACGAATACAATAGAAGATGACTAAAGTATTCCTAAATTTTCACGGTTTTGCGAGTTTCATATTTGATTCTTCTCTGCTAGATTCAACTCTTTCTTTTGAACTTGCTCATCAGTGCCCTCATTAGTATGTTGATTATCCATGTTCTTGTTGTTCCTAGTATTCATGGTTATTGAAGTTTGGTTTGGACATATAATTTGGATTTCTTAAGTTATATTTTTCTTAGTGGGAGTTTAGACATGCAATTTGGGATCATGATTTCATAATTCTCCAAGAGCAGGATTTGAGATTCCAAATTGTGATTTCAATTTTTTGTAAAATGTAAACTTTGAGCCATAAGTTTATATTTTGTAAGAAAGACTCATCATTTTAATTTGCAAAAAATAATAATTCAGGTTCGGTGTGAAGAGATTGTTTTTACCATGTAAAAAGAGATTATATTAAAGAATTGTTAGTTACTACTATTGTTGACTAGTGAATCTTAACAAAATTCTCTGTATTTGATAGTTTGTAATTTGAAACATAAAAAAATGGAGGGATATGTGATTTATCAATGCGGTGCCTTAGAATATTTCAATATCTTGCTTATAAACTATGTTTTGCTCATTTTAATTATTGTAATATTATTTGCTGACACTCGTACTAAAAAGACTGAATGATATATTTGGTTGAAGGTTTAGTTATTTACTTGGAAACTAAAGATCAATTCCCAATTTTTTTAATAATCACCCATATTCTAAAAAATCTAGATTGTCCCAATTGGAATATTTGTTGTTATGTTGGAAGTTTTTCACCTTTGGACAAGTTACTTTCACCCATTGTTTTGTTTCTGTCTTCTCATTCACCTTGTGAATTATTGTCAGCTTTATCAGAATCCCCTGTACTATCCTCATATGTTTGCCGTTTAATTAGAAGAGAAGAGTGGATAAGAGTTTTTAACCGCAAAAACGGTACAGTTAAATTTATATAATCAGTATATACGCATTCAATTGGTCGAAATTGATGGAACATTAAACAAAACAAATGTTATGATATTAAGTAAAGTCTAAAGTTTTAGAATTTACAACAAATATTCCAACGGCATCATCTTCTATGAGTGTTAATTGAAAACTAATTGTGAAGTAGTGATTGCAATTTGCAAACACAATTATCATATTTAGTATAAAAAAAGAAGATAAAAGTTTTTATTCTCTTTATGCAAACGATATTTGATTGTGACATCACAATAATGAAAGCTTCTGCTCTTTTTCTAAATAATTTTCAAGAGATTCATATAGGTATTTATATCTTTTCTAAAAGTGAATCTATTATTTTTAGTTATGATTGGTATCACACCTTTATTCGGAATAATAAAGACGATCAAATGATAAATTTGTATAAGAAAATTGACGTATTAATTAATTTACCTTTTTATTTATAATTTATTTGTGTGTAGTACGTTGAACGAAATAAATATTATAAAGGTATCGTCTTTAAAACACTTGAGCTAGACTATGACATTTGTGCAAAATAGTACTCCAATGGCTCCTACCTGGCATTCTTTGCTCATCAACTTTGTATCATCTCTATGAACTTGGACAAATTTGAATGTGTATAAATATCTTTCTATTTTATAAATGAGATAATAAAATTTTATTTTTTTAGTCTGATCATATACGTAGCACAAGTTATGTAATATTGAAAATAAATTTAATTTAATAATTCTCTAATCAAATGCATTTAACCAAATAAAAAGTAGGAAAATCAACATAAAACTCAAATTAAAATAGTTATGTAAGTATGATCAAGATACATGCTCTCTAATCAAGTGCATTTAACACTAAATAAGATGTACAAATAGGAACATATATATTAGACAACATACAAAACATTTCTGATATTTATCAAAGATTATGGCAAAAAGTTAGTCTTTTTAAACCAATAAGGTGAAAAAATTTCAAGATTCTTGGTGGGTTGTGTTGTTCTGTTGTTGGATTTTGGTAGATTGGTGTCAGCATTGGTAATGTCTGAGAAATCTGCAAATTTTGGATGGGTTATGAGGTCAAATAGCACCAAGATCCAATGGTGGTTTAAGCTATTGACGATGAGTGTTTTTCTTGGAATCTTGATTGTGTGGGAGATTGATAGTGTCAGCGTGGGTAGTTCAGGGAAGTTTAGTCCTACCTTTAAAGATATCAAATTTACCAATATTATCGAATATTACAATTCTTGGTTAAATACTTACCAGAATCTGGCTCCTGATTTCAGTCTTGAGATGGTGACAAATTTGTCCAACAAGGAACAAACTTCAAGTCCAAGAGTTTGTAGGTGGATTTCAGCTGAATTAGAGGCAAACTATTCATCGAATCTTCTTACCAAGTTGTTGGATCCTGGTGGTGAGCTGTGTAAGGGATCAAGAACTGTGGATGTAAAAATCCCTGCTTTGGATGGTCGCGAGAACGTTGAGTTGTCAACTGGGGATATTCATGAATTTGTAATCCATGCATTGTATGATTCAGGGAAACCTCGTTGTTCGGGTGGTGATTATTTTGAAACTGATATTGCTGGTGAAACATGGAAGTCTAGACCACCTATTAAAGATTTAGGCAATGGTACTTACCAGTTTTTCTTGCAAGTCCATCCTGATTTTTCAGGGGATTACAATCTTACAATCATCTTACTATTTCGACATTATGAAGGCTTGAGGTTTTGGCCTGAAAGATTTGCATTTGACAAGGTTTTACGCGTGATCCCAATAAAATTCTCCAAGTCTGCTGTTGAATTACCTGAAATATCTCAATGCAAGAAGTTAGATCTTGTTAGAGATGTTTGGTCTGGTCGATGGACTCGTCATGTCAAGAATGATAGTTGCCTAATTAGCAATGATGGACGTTATAGATGCCAAGAACCAAATTTTCCATGCCAAAAACCATGGTGTGATGGTCCATTGGGGTCCTTAGAGAGCAATGGTTGGGTATATTCAACACATTGTTCATTCAAAATGTTCTCAAGTGAAGAAGCATGGAATTGTTTGAAAGATCGTTGGATTTTCTGGTGGGGTGATTCGAATCATTGTGATACAGTGAGAAACATTGTTAATTTCATTTTAGATGTGAATGATATAAAGGAGGTTCGAAGAAGAAGTGATTTGAACATCAGCAACCCAAAGAATCCATCACAAATAGTTAGATTTACTAGTATTTATAACGGGCATCCTAATGCGACAGGGAATAATCAAGGCTTGAATTCGTTGACAGATGCAAACTACAGAGAACTATTGAATGGGTACTTCTCGGGGCATGTTGTTCCAGACACTATAATCATGAATTCGGGCTTACATGATGGACTACATTGGTCTAATATTAAGCAATTCATTGAAGTTGCCGGCTATGCTGCATCATTCTGGGCTGAGGTACTTAATGGGGTACGACAGAGAGGGTTGAGACCCCCCGGAGTGATATATAGGACCACAATAGCTACAGGGGGATTTGCTAGAATATTAGGATTCAATCCAAATAAAATGGAGGCCTTTAATGGGGTAGTGTTGGATAAGTTTAAGGCATATGGTTTGGTTGATCATGTTATTGATGATTTCGACATGACTTATCCATGGCACTATGACAACAGATGCAATGACGGGATGCATTATGGTCGTTTTCCTGTCAAGCAGAAGTGGATGGATGGTCAGATTGGACACCAATACTTTGTGGACGTTATGCTTGGTCACGTGCTGCTCAACGCGTTATGTGAAAGATAGAAGGTGGAAAATGGTGACGCTAAGTGCTCACATTGGCTATAGTTTTATTCTGAGATGCATCCAACTTCAAACAATTGATGCAGTAAATTTGGTGATATTTTTGCATTTTATATCGTTATGTTTTATGAATTTTCTTCCAAGTTGTAGGTCATATATAGTATAGGGCAATATTTGTGTCTTTTTAAGCAAAGGACTTAAAATACGTTATTTTAACAAGTACGAATTGATTGATTGTACATTTCTTTCTTTGATTTCTCTTTAGATTTTACGTTGTTAGCTGACGTAGAAGTAAAATTAAGCTATAATGAACTACATCAAAGAATCACAATCTATGAATGTATCTATTACAAAAATTGGAGAAGCTTACTTTTTTCTGTTTTGAAATACATGAGTCCTTCTATAATTCTAAAGATATACAACTTTTCAGAAATAATTTGCATAGGTGTGTCCTTTTTTATTTATTAAAGGGAAAATGGTCTGATATACCCCTCAACTTTGCTATTTGGAGCTGATATGCCCTCGTTATGAAAGTGGCTCATATATACCCTTACCGTTATACAAACGGCTCACATATACCCCTACCGTTACAAAATGAGCTCACATATACCCTTCATTTAACGGAAGTGAAAAAATTAATTTTAAACTTATAATTTTTTTTAAAAATCATTTAGGGGTATATAGGATTCTTCTAGCAAAGTTCAAGGTATATTTCAATATTTTTCATACATAAATTATTTTTTGACTTCTTTGATTTTCATTATTTTAGTTTCTTATTCTTATTTTATTTTTTTCTTTCATTCTTTAGTGTAAAGAAAAAATTTTAAAACTATTTTTTTGTGGCTATATTATAATTTAAAACAATTTTTTTTTGTCTATATTGTAATTTAATTTTTGTATTTGAAGAAAAAAAATTGGTCATCTATAATAAGTTTTACAAGAATATTAGTGAAACATAAATAAATTTGACCATCAAAATAATAAATCTAAATTAGTCATTGAAACAAAAAAATATGTTTGAGGAAGATTAAATATACCCGTATGGGATTATAGTTTTTTTATAAAAAAAATAATAAAAAATGAAACTAAAATTATTATTTTTTCATTTCCGTTAGAGGGAAAGGGTATGTGTGAGCCATTTGTATATAAGTAGGGGTATATATGAGCCACTTTCATAACGAGGGGTATATCAACTCTAAATGACAAAGTTGAGGGGTATATTAGACCCTTTTCCCTTTATTAAATATATATGTAGACATTGAAATTTTGTTGGATTATAACAAACGTGTTCAATTCGAATTGAAATTCTACAAGGTGTGTTCCATTTCAATTAGGATTCTTGGAGGTTTAACTCAACCTTAAATCCTAGTTCATAATTAAGGATCCCTTAAAAAAGGCATCTCGAATATTTCGCAAATTTATGGAATATTCATAAAAAGAACACATTTTGATTCGAGAAATACGTCACTAACGGCTCTCGAATCATGGATAAATATTATGAGAAGAAAAATCTAAATGCAGAATTGTACCTGTACAATTTATCAATAAAATATTCATATTTCTTCATATATTTTATTTATGATTACAATTTATTTTTTGCCACTTTTTAAATTTATTTCAAACAATATATAAATTCAAATTGTACATTCATTCTTTGATTTCTGCTTTAGATTTTATGTTGTTAGCTGACGTAGAAGCAGAATTTAGCTATAATAAAAATGCAAAGAGAGATTGAGATTGTATGTTTTGAATTGGATTCTTGTTAGTTCATTATTTTCTCTAGTTTATGAATTATCAAAAAGTTGGTAGAATAAAACAAGGAAATTGAAAGGGAGAGGGCTATTCCAAAGTTTGCAGAATCATTGAATTCGTTTCACTAATCTAATAGTGGATTCACATGTATATAAACACGAACTACATCAAAGAATCACAGTCTATGAATGTATCTATTACAAAAAATTGTTCACTTTTTGGAGAAGAAATCTTCTTTGGAACTTTACAAGAATTGGAGAAGCTAGCTTTCTTTTTATGTTTTGAAATGCAGGAGTCCTTTTTATAATTCTAAAGAGAAACAACTTTTGAGAAATAATCTGCATAGTTGTGTCCCTTTTATTTATTAAATATTTATGTAGAAATTAAAATTTGATGGGACTATAACAGACGTGTTCAATTCGAGTTGAGATTCTATAAGGTGTGTTCAATTACAATTAGTATTCTTGGAGCCTTAACTCAACTTTTAACCCTAGTCCATACTTATATAAGGGTCCCTTACAAAATGCATCTTGAATATTTTGCAAATTCATGTAATATTCATAAAGAAGAATCTAGTTTGAGAAATACGTCACTAACGGTCCTCGAATTATGGATAAATCTTATGAAAAGAAGAATCTAGGAAGCCTCGAATCATGGATAAATCTTATGAAAAGAAGAATATAAGGAGGAACATAATTGTACCCGCACTATTTATTAATAAAATATTCATATTTCTTCATATATTTTATTTATAATTACAATTTATTTTCCGTCACTTTTAAAATTTATTTCAAACAATATTTAAATTCAAATTGATCCATATGAATAGACCTGAATCTAATTCTATCATCTCCATGAAGTTAATTTTTATCTTTACCCTCTTCTCACCGACGTTCCCTCTCTTCCCAGTTCAAAGTCAATGTCCACTTGACTTTAAATTCTAGATGTGAGTTGAATTTTCAATTTAGTTCAAACTTTTTGGTCCCAAAAATCATTTTTATGGAAAAGATAAATCATGTGTTGTCTAATATATATTTGTCAAAATCAAAAACATGTTTCCCTACATAAATGACTTATGAGTGTGTTTTGTGGGTTCTACCTCCAAAAATTTCAATATTGATGTTACTTATTTACAAATTTTGAATTCAAACTACTTTAGAGTTTCGTGTGAATCTTTTATAGAATTTTCAAATTTAATTTCTTTATAGTATTCCTATAGGTTTCTTATATATTTATAGGAGTAATAAATGTACAAAATTTTGAATAAGTTTATTTGTAAGTTTAATTTAAATTTAGTATCAAAATTTGAATGACAAAAATATAATGTCACATCCTAGTGATCTAAGGGATATATACTCAATACTCCCAACTCAACAATAACAACCACATACCCAGAGTAGTCCCACAGATTGGGTCTAAAGCGAGTAAAATCTACGTAGATTTTACAAAGGTGAGGTAGAGTCGTAGAGAGGTGTATTTCGATAGATACTTAGCTCAAGACAAAAATAATTTTAAAAAAGACATAATGAAAATACAAGAGACAATATAAAATAACAAAAATGATAGATGATACCAGAAAAGTACTACAACAATAATTCTATAATCGAACTATACGAAATAATAGATAGTTACATAAATCGAAAAACAAAAAGGTACAAGAGTAGTACTTCGCCTACTAGTAAGAGAAGCAAGCCAATACACTCCTACTTACTAATAAACAAGACTCCACTTCGAGGTAATACTCGAATGGATTTTATTTTATTTTAAAAAAAAAGGGAAACAAGCCAATACACTCCTACTTACTATATAGATTCACTCATACCTAATAACCTTCTACCCTAATTCTTGTCCTCTACACCTTCCTAACTATGGTCATGTCTTTGGTAAGCTGCAATTATACACTTCATGTTCTGTCTAATCACCTCTCCCCTAAACTTCTTCGATCTACCTCTGCCTCTTTTGAATCCGTCTATAGCCAACCTCTCACGCCTTTACACTAGGACATTCGTGCAATTCTCATCACTTGCCTGAACCATCTTAATCCCGCTTCTCGCATCTTGTATTCCACCGAAGTCACTCCCATTTTGTTTCTAATATCTTCATTTTTATTCCCTAGCATACTCATACAACATCACAACATCTCATCTCCATGACGTCCATCTTTTGAATGTGATAATTCTCGATTGATTAACATTTGTTCCATACAACATAGTTGGTCTAACCACCACTCTTTATAACTTGCCTTTAAATTTACATGACACCTTCTAATCACACAAATTAAAAGTCCAAATATGAACCTCCATTTCATCTGTCACGATTCGAGCCTACACCCTGGACGTGACCGGCACTCGAGAACCATTGCTGGTCCCCAAGTGAACCCTCATCCTGACTGACTACAAGCGGAAAACTGATTCAAGCATATAAAGCTTAAAACTGAATAAAATTCATGAAACTGAAATACAAACTTTAAGTCCAAAGAAACCTCTGTATAATAAAATATATACAACTCGCCATAAAAAGGCAACTTTAGTCTTTAAAACATTTGACAAAATAAATGAAGACTTCTAAAACTCTACTGTCTATCTATGAAGCCTCTAAATGACAATGATGGAAGTCGGGACAAGACCCACGACCTCCTAACAATTGAAAGTAAATGGAATCCTCCGGAAGCAAAGAGACTCACCATAGCTAACTCGAACTCCATGTGACATCAACGAAGCTCCTGTTGATGATCCTGAATACCTGGATCTGCATCATGAGAAGATGCAGGCCAAATGGCTCAGTACGTGGAATGTACGAGCATGTAAGAGGAATTCTAAAGCATAACATAAGCTTGAAACTTGATACAAAGGAAACATACTTACCTCTTCTCAAACTTACTTAACTCAAAAGTATTCAAGGATAAGATACTCAACTCAGAGATTAGATACTTAACTAAAAGATATGATATTCAACTCTGGGTACTCAACTCTGGAAACTCAATTTTGAATACACAACTCAATATGACTGAACTCATTTCAATATAAAGCAATTTTAAAACAAGTGCAATATAAAGAAACAAACTGTTTAAAAACATGCTGTCAACTCTGTGTGTATGCAATGATACAACATAACTCTGAAATATATGTAAAAATACAAATAATTGTGTATATAAGAATACAATAACTTTTGTGGGAGTTTCTCTAACCAACAACCATCACTTAAGAGCTATAGTGATGATACAACACTTTACCTCGCACTGCCAAGGACCA